GCAGCGTAAGCAAACACGTTGACGGGCAAATGCACGAAAACGGTCGGCGCGCCGACCGATTGGTCAGTTCGGTTGGCTGTCGGTCGGAGGGGTCGGTCGGCTAAATTTCCGGACCGAATGGAAGCCTTACCATACTCTATGAAAAATAAAAAAAACGTTACGGACGGATGGAGGATGGATCAATTTGAGCCAAAAGCCTCTCACAGTCTTCCTGTGAAACTTGTTAACGTTTGAATTTCCGAAGCTTGACTAAAACTGATTCTAAACAGCTACAGAACAAAAAACAACCCTCGTAGAACACCTTAAAATTTTCTTAATTTATCATGGACCACAAAAAAATCATAATTTTTCCAGGTGGAGTTCTCTGATGGTTTCCGTGACGGAATGAAGGCCTGGAATCGGTCCGTCCAGACTTGGCTGGCTCTTTATGTACACTCTCGAGTCAAATTCATGCGTGTTGAGACGACGATGTTGGTTTCGGCAATCTGGCACGGGACCTATGCCGGATATTTCATGTAAGTAATGTTATTAGAATCTGAAACTGGAATCGTTTGAAATAGCAACCGCATAGCTCAGTCAGTAGCGACGCGACACTCCGTAGCTATTATTCCGGAACAAAAAATTCGAACTGTGAAAGAAAATAGCTAGCAACAGTGGCCACACAACGGCAGCTACCGTAACTGAAACATTGCTTAGTTTTTTGTTACGGTAGTTGTCGTTAGAGACTTTCGACCGCGGCCATCGGTTCTTCTACAGCTCCGATTTTTTTCTACCAGAATAATATCATGTTCAAAACCCGAGGGGCTTCGATATAGAATATATTACAAAATTTTCAGTTAAAAAATGATTGAGAAATATTAATTTTTGTTTCAGGTCTTTCGGAGTGGTGGCGATGTGCGCAATTCTAGAGGATGTCATTTTCAAACTGGTCCCAGTGAACCCGGAAACTGGCCTCAGACCACAGTGGTTTCGTATACTGTAAGCGCCGCTCTAATCTCTAATTTCCTCCTCAACAAAATTTTTAAATGTCTAGATACACCCACACCATCCGTTGCCGTGGCTTCGAAATGCTCGCCACCGGATTCCTCCTCAAAAATGCTTCTGACGTCCACCACTTCTGGTCATCCATCTACTACTGGTTACCTCTTCTATGCGTTCCATTCTACATCTACAGTGTGAAAACCGCTGCTCCGAAACTTAAACTTGTAGTTTAATTTTTTGTTGGATATTATCTAGTATTTATGTTTATTATTGTTGTTACCAAGGCGTTTGCATCTCATCTCTATCTCTCTAGTCCAAATTGTTGACCGTTCTTGTGAAATGAATTTTTGCTCTTTTTTCGTTATCGGGTTCGAGTGGTACACAAGGAACAAAGCCTTGTAATGATCCACACACGTGATTTTCTTCCCTGTTCAGGTGTTCGTTTTGGTTGGACAAATAAAGGTGGTAATGGAATGTGAGAAAAATGCGTCTCAATACATTCCGCACGTTTTCGATTTCCCTATCAAAAATCACGATACCTAATCCATCACAACTGCTTTTTCTTCACTCCTCCCATTGTGTACTCAAAGGCACTCTACCCTTCCTCTTCCTTGTTTTCGTAACCCCATCAAAAATAAACAAACGGGTACTATAAAAAAGGCGAGTGGTCATTCAATTAAAGCATCATACTCTACCAGTGTGAATTCAAACTAAAAATGAACTCCAAAATTGTTCTTTGCTTTTTGGCTATTGTCGCTGTCTGCGTGGCTCAGAGAAAAGGCTAGTCTCAATATAGAATCATGAAAAAGTGGCAAACTTTCAGAAGATATCTTTGCTCGCGCTGTCGGACCATGCATTGCTGATAAGTGTCAATCTAAGCATACTTGCTATTTTGGCCAATGTGTCCCAGAAGGAATCGCTCCAGCTATGCCAGCTCTTGACAAAAGTAAGTTGATACTTTTATTCAAGAACGCTCAGAATGGAATTTTTGGAATTTTTCGAAATTTCGAAAACTCCGAGTTTCCAAATTTTGGGATTTGATGTATTTCTATTTAGAATATTTCGAAATTTCAGATATTTGCAGTTTCCAATTTTCGAAATTTCGGAATTTTTCAACATTCAAACTTTGAACTAGAAATCCCATTATCAAAAAAAATAACTAGAACGTATTTCCGCTAAAGCCCACATGGAAACTTGTTGTGTGTGCCGACATACAATAGTCCATAAAACTTTAATTGCGAAAAAAGTAAAAAATATTCTTATACAAATTTCACACCAAACTTGATCGGAATTTTTGAGAATTTCGGAACTGGGATTTTCGTTCCGAACATTCTTTTGATTTTAATTTTTAAAGTTTTTGGAGATTTCAAACTTTTCAAGTGCCTTTTTGCCTCAATTTATGAAAATTATTATTTCTAGGCGCTGCTATTGGACCATGCATCAACTACCTCTGCCCTGGAAATTCCTTCTGCCACCAGGGCATGTGCTACAACAATATATAAACAATCCCAATTTTCAATTCTACGGTTACCGTACTCTACCTGAACCACAATTCGCAATTTCAATATTTATCAAACCACTTCCAAAACTTTACGAATGAAACTGCAATTATATTCCCATTCAGTTTGTCTTTCTTTTTTCTATCAAACCCATCAAACCCAAAAAAAACCTTCTTTCCTTGCGATTTGTCGTTTACAATTACCGTAACACTGCGTTGACAGCCAAATGACCTAATAACGGCTTCCGAACGGATGTCAATGTATTAAAAAGGACGCTTCCTTTTGAGGGGCTCTGTCGAAAAACGCGGATTTCCTAGGCAGACGTAATGGCACCATTAAAACTGACGAACACCGGTGCTGGCAGTTTAGAAAAGGACAAGGTTGAACCCTGAGTGTTCATGACATCTGAATTTGTTGGAAGAAGACGACGGAGAGGAAGATTCAAACAAGGGAAAAGATAAGTGCCATAATTGCGTAACGACGGACTATAAAGTGATACAGAAGAGTGCGATAGATTGAGTCAAGATAAGAAGCGCGAATCCGGATCGGGAAAATGACCGGGTGGTGAAGAAGAAGGCGAGGAACGTCACCGGTAATTATTTTCCGTTCTTCTTTCCTCTCCTACAAAACCGTGTAACATTGATTGATGAAGTGTCATTAAAACACTATCTTAGAGCTGAATCTTTTCACACTTTTATACATCTTTTAATGACTTAATTTCGAAATTGAAAGACTTTTTTAAAGCCTTCTTGTCATCGGACGATTTTAAAAAATGAATTTTTCCGCGCTTTTTCCCGACGAGTAGCACATCGGCAGTTCAAACAAAAGCTTTCGTGTTGAGACAAACGGTAATTTTACTTTAATCTTACAGATATTACAGTTTCCTGTACAAAAACGGGCGAAAAAGGTGTCTTTCAGAAATGGACAAATAGCTGAAAAACTAGAAACTTTCCGAAAAATTCTGCGAATCCAAATTTTTTAATCTAGGTTTTTTTTACACCCTTCGAAGTTTTCGAAGGGATCGGGAACTTGACAGCCGAGCTCCAGGTTATTGAAAATGGTGAAATTCTGCTGGAAAACGCATTTTTTAGATTTTATGGGGTATTGTGTATTGATATCCCCAACAAAAGCTAGTCAGAATTTCAAAATTTCCAGAAAAAAAGACAAAGTTCGATATTTTATTTCATTGTGGCCATATATAAAAAGGAAGAAGGGGTCAGAGTACAAAAAAAAAAACAACCAGATAGAATGCATGATATGAAACAAAATGGAAACTTCTATTTCTTTTTTCAAATTTCAAAATCAAGTTTCGAAAACGCTCATTTCTGTCTGAATGACACTCTAAAAGGGGAACAGAGAATCGGTAAAATTCTAGAATTCGGGTTGTTTATGGAGAAGATAGACGGCGTTGTGGAGTAACATGCATTTTTTTAAAAAGTTGTCATAATCAATTGAATTGTATAGTCAGAACCTAAATGGAATGAGGTTTCAGAACTTGGCAAAAAAAAAGAAAATCTGGTGGTACTGGATGGGGTGGGGGGAGGGGGCAAATGTCATTTTGTGCACAATATTCTGTAGAGCACAACTCTATAAATGCTCTTATTTTTGGGAATAATGCGGAGTGGGAAGAGTTTCTGGTCTACAGAATCAAGCATAAGCAGGAAATAGGGGAGAGGGATGGACCACGGGGAAAGGAAATTATGAAAAGCTCATAGGAAAAACATTTGAAAAATAAATCAGTTTTAGGAGTAATACAATGAAGAAGAAAAATGCAGAGATTTGAAACCATTTTTGTGAGTTTGACTTCTTTTTTCGATACTAAATCAAAGTCAAACTAAACCCAGAAATTTATGGCCAGAGAGAGAAACGAGAGGAGAAGAAAAAAGCGGAAGGAGAAAATCTTGAAAAACAACCAAAAACGAGATGATGATGCTGACTGGAACTGGAATTAAAGAGAATATCAAATACACGGGTGAATAGTGAGAATTAAGAAAAAAAAATTAATGTCTAAGAGACTTTCTAAGCTCTCCAGTAGTGCTCATGGACTTGTGCAATGTCGTTGAGCTCGTGCATTTGGCTGTGGCTTAGCGATTGGTCAATGGAGTTGAGCACCGCCGACACTGGCAGACTCATACCAGAAGTTAGGGTTGGGATATCTGAAAAAACACTTTTTTTGAAACTTTTTTGCTGTTAGGAATTTTTCCTCTTTAGATTCTTATTCCCATTCACACTCCCTTCGTTTTGGCGCGCTTTGGTGCAGTCCCTGAGGAGGCGTGTGCGCGCTCAAAAAAAAGTGTATAGGTATGGCGGATCCCAACGCATATTCTATCGGACATAAATGTGAGGTGACAGCCTACAGAGGCATATGTCACACACACACACAAAACAGACAAAAGAAAGGAAGGGAAGGCTGATACAGTGTGCGCTGGTTGGTAGGCAAGAGGAGAGGAGATTACGGTAGCCGTTATGGAATGTTGGCTGGCTGGTAGGATCCGGAAGGATTTGAATTGTGGAAAAGAATTCAAAACAAGATAGTCTTTACACATCTCGACACATTAAATTTATCACCACCCCATACTAACGGTTTTTTATCACCCCGAAATTGATAGGTTTCTACAAGTCGTCTCAATCAGGTGAAAGTTTAAAAAACAGAGAAAATTAAAATTATATACTGGTCAATAAGATATACAGAAACGTGTTTTTCAGTTGCTTTGGCCATTTTCAGGAGCTCGGCTGCCAAGTGTCGGATCACTTTGAAAACATGGGAGGTTATGAAACAGACCTAGACTTCAAACTTTGCACTTACAAAATTTTTTGAAAATTCCTAGTTTTTCAGCTATCTACCAATTTCTGAAGGACACCCCTTTGTTTTGTACTGAAAACGTGAAAAACAGCAGGTGTCCTTAAAAAATTCAAAAATAGCTGAAAAAGTAAAACTTTTCAAAAAATTCTGTGAATGCAAAGTTTCACTTTTAGGTTTTTTTTTTTTATCCTCCAACATTTTCAAAGTGCTCTGACACTTGACAGCAGAGTTTTAGGTTTCTGAAAATGGCCAAAATCAACTGAAAAACACGTTTTTTCATATCTTATCGAACGCTACTGTATATGCCTACCTCCAACCGACGTTGTCACTGGACTCATCGACTGCTGGAATCCATGTCCGTTGGTTTGCACTCGGGCATACTGTAATTGGGAAAGTGTTATGATAGATGATGCGTGGGCGACGACTACTTACATGGAATGGGTCATATGGCGAGCGTCCCGGTTGGAACATGTGATGCGTTTGGAATTCAGCAGGTGGCTGGTATGGCGCCATTGAGAGGCCGGCGTTGGCGAAGCCGAAACTGAAAAATAGTGAGAACTAGAATCGAAAAGGGACCACTGTCTCCAGTTGCTTCCAAATCCTCAAATCTAGACTTAGACAGTGAGGTTGCTAATAAGTTTTTGATGATTGTAAACTTACGTGTATGGATCCATGGCTTGCTGACTGAGCCCGTTGTACATTTGGGCTGGCGGCGGCACAAAGTTCGTCGTCGGCAAATTCGCCGAATTATTCGATGGGAATCGATTCGGCGTGCTGGCTGGTGATCCTATCGAATTCGACATGTTACTTCCAGTCACTAATCCTTGTGGTTTTGGCGTCGGCGGTCCGTTGGACGACGAAGAATCCATGGTTCCGCATGAGCGTTTGCTGCGCATTTTCTCCTCCCTCCTCCATTTGGCCCGCCGATTCGAGAACCATACCTGGAATATTTCATGTTCTGATTTTTTCCTCTTTGTTCACAATCCCCCATTGTCAGACATCCCATTCTGCCCTTCTACTCTTCTTTCTCAATTCTCAGCTGGCAGAACTAACAAAAAGATGAATGTGCGAATAGAGTCCTTATGTCCATACGTCGGGGAGGCGAACAGAGAGGGAGGTCCCTCTCTAATAAAGATAAATGGTGACCAGAAAAAGTAACCCCTTTTTCCTATTTTGAATTCCAACTTCTCTCTTCCACTCAACTGTTTTTCCATACTTTTTTTTCAGCAAATTCCTCATCGTTTCTCGTTTCCTCATTCCACTCCTATATTTTTTCAAGAATGGGGAAAAATGATGAGAACAGGTTTCGAAAGAAAGTATTGGCATGGGGACAGTTCAAGTGTGTTGGAGAGAAGAAGAGAAAGAGTGACAAGAGAGCCTCTTGAAGTGAAAATGGGCTGCTGTTGCTGATGGCATAGTTTTGAAAAAAGAAGGCGTCTTTCGATTCTTTAAGTTGCGCAAGGAGTTGATTAGGTGACATTACTGACCCTGTATGGGGGCTAGAGGGGCAAAACGGAAGTTTCTTGAAGTAAAAAACTTTAGAGTGACATGTGATTGGTATCAGTCAAGGATTAGGCAACTATTGCGCGCACACGGCTCGTTACACTTTCCTATCTGATTTGGACTAATCGTTATACGACCCTGTTTGTGAGTCAACTACTAGTTAACCTGGATTCTGAAGTCTTACCTGAATTCTGGCTTCTGGAAGTTGAATTTTCTGTGCAAGTCGCTCCCTGGCAAATACATCTGGATAGTGGGTCCGTTCGAACTCTGCAAAATACACAATTTTGTCAAATCCCCTACAAATTTTACTGTACCTTTCTCAAGACTTTCAATTTGGACTTGTGTAAACGAGGTTCTGTTTCTCTGCAACTTCCGTTTCAATCGCATCCGGGCTGCCGCATCATCTTCCTGCTCAATCTGAGGTTTTTGGTCCTCATCTGAAAAAGGTTGGATTATGCATAGAGTTGACACTTTGCGGCAAGGAGAAGTGCCGGAAATGAGAGCGCTAATGTATTTGGTGGTGGTGGTTTTCTTTCCCGCCTAACACTAACATCCGCTGGAAATGGTCGGATATCCGCTTTTAATGAAAGAGATGGGCATGAGAACCTGGAGATAACCGCGCTATGAGAAATCGACAAAAAATTTTAGGAGAAAAAATAAGGCTCAAACATACATGGTGAGAATTTATCAATACGAATAGCGGGCTTACGAATAGTGGAGGCTCGGCGAGTTGGAGTCGGTGACTTGATAGACACCAAGGGAGCGTGGGCTGATATCATCTCTTGACAGAGACTGTATGACCAACCGCACTGATAGTCGAGGGGCGGGTCACCCATCTCTTCTATGTGGATGGTTTGAGAAAAGTTGTCATCGACGTCGTCAAAGAATCACGCAACACCGTAGGAACACGAGACGCAGTCGCATATATCAGCATGTGTCAGAAGTGATTTGCATTTCATTTTTTGAGTTGACTCACGTTGATAAAACAAATGATAGTAGTGCGAAAATTACTATCAAATTGGTAGTAAAAGACCTAGACAGCTGGGAATGATAAGAAATTGGTTACGGTAGATGTCCATATCTATAACTCCTAATATAACTAGAATTCAAGAAAAAGGTGAGTGAACTTTAGTTTGATGATAACTGAGATTACGGTAGGTGTCTATACACATAGCTATAGGCTCATACGTTCAATAAACTTTAGAAAATAAATCAAAAAGAAATTAGAAGAAACGACCATCTCCTAACATTTAAAATTGGAAAGACTGAATGCGATAATCTGCTTTTGTGAGGGTTGGCAAATGCGACAAAATCGCAAAATTAAATTGAACACATTTGACCACTTCAGTTTCCGAAACGTATGAATTCGAATTAGGCGTTAGGTCATCGAGAATCTGTTTTTTCTTTTTTTCATAATTTGATAAATTAAAGTGTTTTCTTAACTCGTATTAGCGATTGATCGCATCTGGGAATTGTCTCGCCTATTGTGTACAAATCGGTCCGTTGCATATCCACACCAACAGCAGTGGCAGCAGCAGCTCCAGACGATGCAGTATCAGCTGACGACGATGGTGTGCAGGGTGGTGGCTGGGGAGCGCACCAGTATACGGTAGACGCGTTGGAGCACAGTTTTCCTTCGAGTTTCGTTTCCGAAGTTACGGTCGGAAGCGAAGGGGCCCAATACAGTCGAGGTTGTCAGAAGCAATCAAAATCAGATAAAACGGAGGGAGGGGGTGATGTGAGGAGTATGTTTGGAGTGGTTGGTGGTGGCGATGATGTTAGAGGCGTCCGACGAATTCAGCAAAGATGTGGAGACTCAGATTGAACGACGTCGTCGTCGGGTTGTCGGAAAAAGGCGCAGTAAGCAAACAGCGCCTAGCCTAGATAGACCAATCGTCGGAGAGACACCGGCGTCGCGCGTCAGGACAGCGTTGAAGACGGCGTCAACTGGCGGCCACGCCCCAAAACTACCGTAAACCATCCAATTATTGATATTCAAAATGGAAGCATCCAGAAGCTTCTCGGACTGGCAGCTCCTTGAGAACATTAAAGTCTCATATATTTATGACCAAGGCTTTCCAGACCCTCTGCTCAATGCAAAAGTGTCCTCTTGGGGCGATTCTTTTTTCGGGCTTGTTTTATTTTTTCATTCTGGTCGGATTCATTTTTCGTGGTCCACTGCGTACGGTATTTCGACGAGATGTGATAAGAAGAGCGAAAGACAAAAAGGGGGGTTATCTGATAAAAGGTATTCAATGAAGCGTGAATCGCCGTTTTTGGCGTTTTTCACGGCCTGTCATTTTTAAAATTAATGGTTGGAGCGTGTGTGTTGTATAAAACTGTAATATTGAAAGATGGGATGGACATACAGACAGAGAGACTACGGTAGCAGTATTGTCTTAGCAAATAGGGACAAAGCTTATTACACAACTTTGAGGAAGAACCAAAGAATTGGTTTTAAAAAAGTGGTACTCCAAAAAGTTTGCAAAAAAAGAAAGACTTTTTGGGTCTATAAATGGAGGCGTGATCATAACCTATATTGAAAAACCTAAATCATTCCAATTCAACGAAAAAAAAATGCTCAAAAACTCAAGACGAAGAAAATCAGATCGGCGTGCCTCACCATAGCAAAACTAAACGACTGAAGTGAGGGAAAAAGGAAAAAGACAAAATTGCGATTATGGTTGTTGTCTTAGTGAATAAATTAAATTAGTCGCTCGATAATTCGTTTAGTAAAAAGTCACTCGCCGAGGAGAGGAGAACTTATACTGTCATTGACACTGTCTACTGCTGTATTGGGTGGTCGTCTTGGAAGCGTTTCCTCATTTTAAACTCATTTCTATACAACTTTTAGTTCCAATAACTTTTGTAATTCCTAAAATGATTCTCAATGATAATTGCATCCTCTCAGAAGTGGTCTAATTAGGTCCAATCAACCATCACTTGTTTCTAATCTAGGAATCAAGAATACAAAAAAAAATACTTCTCCAAAACCTAAAACCAACCAAAAAATGACTAAATCTTCAAAAGCTTGCTCCATCTGTTCCGACCGAACGACAAAAAAAGTCGCACCTCATTTCCGCAATTATTCTCGATTAGTGGCAGGGTGGTGCCACATAAATTTAAAATTATTCCCCGTATATTTGCTGGTATTGATTCATATCTTTTCTCCTAGGCTTCTTCTCTAATTCGATGATGAATGTGTTGGTTTTGCCATCAGAGAGGCTTATCGCAAACTCGATAGTTTGCATGTGGTTTTGCTTTTTTAGTACAAGTTGGAGCTTTTTTTCTGTTTTTTTCTGGTTAAGCTTAAGCTTTGGATTTGCGGTAGTAAATTTACAGAAGATCTTTTAATTATATAAAATTTGAAAACCCCTTATTTAGCGTTATGACATACCCCACTTTTTCGAATAGAAGTGCACCCAATTCAGCAACTTTGAGCTCAATTATCTCTACTCCTGTTTGAGATATCAAAAATGTGTCAACTCGTAAAATATTAATGATTGTATAATGAATAGCTTTTCAGTTAACAAGTTTTTGATATTTCTCACATCAATCGGAATACTTGAGCTCAAAGGTAACGGTTTGAGTAGGCATTTTTTTTTGGAATCATAGTAAGTTGGTGCAAGAGTGGTTTTTCTCTGAAATCCTCGTTGAGATTGAAATCCGTGAAAAAAATGAAAAATTGTTGTTTCCGATATATAGAAAGTGAAAATATTTATCATCAAGTGATACCGAAAAACTATAATAACCTAAAACAGCTTCAAGATTTTTGGAACTACCAACTCAAATAAAATCCTTTTTGGATATATTATTTCCCCTAATAAAATCCATCCCCACGAACTTTGAGCTCTATTATCTCGGTTTCTTTGAAAGAAACAAAAAAGTAGTCAACTAATCAATTATTTATCAAAATTTTACTATTATTTTAATAGTTGACACATTTTGGATACCTCTCACAGGAACCAAGATAAATAAGCTCAAAGTGCTCCTATAGGATGTTTTTATAAGGGAAAAAACGGAAGTTCTACTATTTTTCCTTTAATTTCTAGTCATCCTTGGCCGTTGCTTCCAATTTTTTCAAAGGAATACACCTTTTGCTTGACTACGTTTTCTTGAGTCACCATGTCCTTATCGATGTCTGATGTAGGCGTATCACTTCCAATCATGAAACAGATACGGTGTTCGTTGATTCATCGACAGACGAGATTCTTTTTAAAAAAACTGATGTTCGAAAATTTCCGCTCTAAATTTGATAAGCATGTGGTCTCTTATCCCAACGACGTTTTTTTTTTCATTCTTCACTTTTTTCGACGCCTTACACATTGTCCTACAGTAGCCAGCCCAGACGCTCCAGTTTTGTTTGGAAGAAAAGCGATGGGTCAGGCGCTTAGTCTTACTGTAGACTGGAGAACATGACGGACTGATGGCGAAGTGGTGACAGGCTAGAGCAGAACAGGTTTCTCACTATCGGCCGAAAAAAAATCTGTGTTATCGTCCTTCTTCTCTATTTTAGAAAATTATAGAAAAAATAGGGGTCGAGCCGAAAAACACTACTTGGAGACCAAACTTTTCAAAAATGCGCCAACTAATAAGGAAAAGGCAAAAACGGCTTGAAAAAGTCAAGAAAAAATCCATCCACACAATTGTATCAAGATTTTGATAAATTGGGTGATGAATGAGGTGAATAATGAGTGCGAATAATGAGGGTGAATGCGCGAATGAGGGAAGAGGAAAGGTATGAGAAAAACGGAGCGCGAGGATGGCGGGCCAAAACAAGGACTAGATAAAATGCAACGATAGTGTCAACTTAATGAACCATCAAACCGTCCAACTTTGCGTGCCTTCTCTCCATTTGCGGAAGGGCCCCCAACAGATGTTCTTCGCACCTCGTAAAAAAGTTTATGACCTATTATAGGCTGTATTCAAATGAGATCTCAATCTTTGCATTTACTACCTATCATTAGTTCATTAGTTCCTGAGTGTTCTGTATAAGAACAAGGGATCTTCAGGTAGTTGACACAGAGTGTAAGCTGAAGTGGCAGCTACCTGAGCAATTATTGTCTGGCTCCTTACCTTTTATGTAGTCGTCCTCTTCTTTTTTGGCTTCTAGTGGGGCTGCGGGAACAAACGGGTTTAGGTTAACGGCTCCATTCATTTGGAGCGGCCACTGACCGTACCAACTGGAATTGTAGCTGAAAAAAAAGGAATGGTAGAGTAGGGTGGTGGAAGAGAGGTGGAAGAGAAAACTTTAAATTTGATTTTTTACATAATTAAAGTAAGAATTTGATAATCCACCTTGTTTTTAGATAATTTTTTTGGAATTTTGATTTTTTGGTTTCACCACTCATTTGAGCTCGGTAATAAACTTTAGCGAGCTTTTACATACAGAAATTTTCCTCATTGGTTTTCTCAGTTAAAAAAGTCGATTATCGAGTTTTGAAAAGTGTCCTGTGCTTTGAAATTTAGAGTATACTAAATATAATGAAGATTCTATTGTCAAAATTTACTATTTTTGCCGAATTCCATTCAGCTCAAATATGCTGCTCCTAACCAAAAAACTGCTAAAATGCTAAAATAATTGTTAAAATTAACATTAGAGTTAAATGTACAAGACTTTAAAACCATTTATCTCGCACAGTTGGATTTTCCCAAATTGTTGTCAATTGCAAAAATGACACCTTGTAAGTTCTATATAATTTGAAAATTTCAGATAAATCGAGAAAGATCAGACTAGTTTTGTAGAAATTCAAATGTTTTTCATTTCTGTTCGGTACTGTACGACTTAATTACGAAATATAGACTTCTGATGGAAATCTTGTTTAAAATTGAAAAAATACGAAAAAATACCCAAAACGGATAATATTCAATTTTCAGAAGAATTTCAATTTTAGGGAAACTCACGGAAAATTATTTTCTACTAATCGAAGTCTATCATATAAATCTGTCTGCATTGTTTGTTGCTGCTCCTTCTTCGATGTTAAATTTCGAAGTACCCGATTAATGGAAGAAACCTGAATAATATGAATAAAAATAAGAATAAATGAATAAATAACTTTTCAAAAAAAACTCACACTTGGTATTGTCTCGTTATTGCAAATATTATCAGAAAGCAATTTATCTCGAATCTCCCATGCAAATATACTAGGCTGGTCTCGTTTGTACTCTTCAATCTTTTCCACGACGTCTGATGTGGCCACTCTGAAAGAAAATGAAACATAGAAAATAATTTAATGAGGTCTTAATTTTCAAGACGTTGTGAAGCATCAAGGAAAATGCCGAATAAGCTAACTAACCGCGGTTTGGAGCCGCCTATCGCTCGCGGTCGTATTGTACCTGATTCGTAGTACCTGCACAAAATCTTGGAGACGCACCTGCAACGGATTAATGGTTAGGAAGGACACGGTGGAAACTAACGAGGACTTGGTTGGACCCCGGGTGAGGATTAAAAAATCCCCACGTTCTCGACTTTTTGAATCTACACAGCTGTCACCAATTCTTCTCAAGATGTTACGAAAATATGTATGAGGAATGAAAAAGAACTAAATTCGGAAAAAATGAAAAAAGTTTCTGTTTTCTCAATTCTTTTTTTTTTCATCGATGATGACAATCATCGCCACGATGAGGTAAAAGACGGCAGACAGTTATTTGAAGGTAGAGTTAATTGAATCATAATCACAATCGGGTTTTTGTATAAAGAGAGAGCGAGAGGTAGAAAACAACACCCTACTAACAACTAAACACCCTACTAAAAACAACAAACTATTTTTCCTAAATTAATTTGGGACAAAATTTGAAATGATTTCCTGATTCCTTGGTCTCTGCTTTTATACGATTTTCATTTTTCTGGCTCTATTGGAACTACAAAAATTTGATTTTCCAGCAGACATTATTTGTGGCATTGTGGGCTTCTGTGTGTTTTCAGACGACTTCATGAAAATTGTATTGTAGAAAAATTTTCAGAACGACTCATGAAATATTCAAGGTTCAGATCTGGAGAGAAATACAAAAATGTTCAAACATGAATTTTTTTTATGCGTTGCATAATATAAATCCAAAAATATAGTTTTTTTCCAATCAGTGTATTTCGTAAACACTGTAATAGAAGACCACCCCTTGTGTCCATCAACGAACTTGCACTTTGAGCTCAATTATCTCAATTCCTGTGAAAGATATCGGAAAGGATTCAACCGATAAAACTGATAAATTCTAGATATTTCTCATAGAAATCGAGATAATTATGCTCGAAATACTCAATTTGTGTGGCTTTCTAAAGAGTGTTTATGGTAAATATTTTGAATATTAACTGGACCTTGCCAAAATTAGTAATTCACACTGGTTATTGAAAAAAAAACATTTAAAAAATTTTGAGTTGACAGTTTTATTTTTTAGATATTATGATATGTCAGTTAACCAAGCTTCGATATTATTCACAGAAAAACCAGAAAATAGTTGACATTCAAAAGTTGACATTTTTCTATTAAAGCTTCTGTGTGTCTGATATATTTTCATATTCTTATTATATTTGTTAAAGAAAGAACTGGAGTTTCAAATTTTGGAAAATTAATGGCGTTAAGATTGGAAACTGGTCCTAATATTGTTCGAAATCTATCTCAGCTGGTCTGAAAACTTTCAGTGTTTTCTCTAATTTGAGCCAACTTTAAGCTCAATTAACTCGGTTCCTATGAGAGGTATCAAAATTCTGTCAATTGATAAACTATTGGTGAAATTGTCATGATAATTTATCAAATGAACATTGTTTGACATCTCTTGAAACAACCGGGATAAGTGAGCTTGAAATATACCTTTATGGTGACTGTATCAAAGTAAATAAGGTAGATTACCCAGAAAAACAAAAATGCTACTCTATTCAGAGACATCCTAAATTCAAAAAAATAACTATTTTCAATAAGAAGAAACTGACCCGTTGGAAACTTGCAAAAGTCGACTAATATCACAAGGACGCCTTCCTTGATGGGCCAAAGCCACGATTTTTTGACGCGTCGCATCCGGAAGTGGCCGTCCATTAACGAACACGCCTCCAAGTTGATTCACACCAGTGTGTCCAGCATCTGGAAAATACGTTTTTCACTTTTTCCAGTTTTTTTTTTAAATTTTTTGCCTCAATCGGTGTTTTTTCATCTATCTGACATCAAGTTTTTGGAGTTCCCCCATTCTTCTACATCTACCTATTGTCTCTTCATTTGAAACAATAACATTATTATTAGATTGACATTGTTATTACAAAACAGAAGGTAAATGGGTGCTCTCTCTCCCAGCCAGAGGCCCCTCTGGCGTAATTGACTACGGGTCAGTGAGCCGACGGGACGACAACTCGACGCAACTCGCTAACGAGAGGTCGGTGCCGGAAGCCAATTCGCAAACCTTTAATTAAAATAGAGACAAAGAAGAGATTCAAATTAGGAGGCGAGGAGGAGAGCGGATGATTCAAAATGGAATGACACCGGAAGTTTGAGACAAAAAATTGAATTAAAACATCAGATACTTGATTTTTAATCAGAATGAATGAGTGATAGGAAATGAGATCGGATTGGTTACGGTAGTCAAATTACAGAATACGGTTTTGATGAGGAGCAAATAATTTATAACTTCAGAAAGAATTTATATAAAAATCTCACTTCATTAGAAAGATAAAAATTCGTCAAACTCTTTTATTTGCACTTTGAGCTCAATCATCTCACTTTCCTCGGAATATATGAAAAATCAGTAAACTACAGAACTGTTGGTAAGATTATTTCAAACATTTTATCAGTTGAAAAGTTTTAGATATCTCAATGAAAATTGAGACAAATGAGCTCAAGCAGTTGAAGAAAACATAAACCGTGAAACCTGTAATTGAAGGGCCCCTAACTTTCAACTTTAAACTCAATTATCTCGGTTGTTCCTAAAAATTTCAAAATTCTGTCAATTGATAAAATATTGGTGATATTATCATAAACATTTCATTAGTTGACACTTTTTTGATTTTTCACAGAAATCAAGATGATTGAACTCAAACTGGATAGTGTGGAAGCCCTTCTCCTACATGTTCAACGGTAGTTTGCTTTTCCTGAATTGTAAATTTCGGAATTTAAAATAATTACCTGTTAGAACGGTTACTTCTGTTTTTACTTTTATTGTTTTGTCAATAATTTGTCTTGGGGGACATAGTCCAAGTTTAGCCAAAAATTTCATCAGAAATAGCAAATACTCATCAAAAATAGCAAATACTAAAAAAACATTTTTTTGGAAAATGATTTTTCTTTTTTTTTCCAGGAAAAAAGGTTGTATACACAAAAAGTGCAACAATGAATCATTTTCAAATCCCAAGGGTCCGTATCTCTTAATAGGCAAATTAGTAATTGGAACTGACCATATTTTGCAAAGCTTGGAGATGAAGAGAAAAGAAATAGAAAGACTTGAGAAAATTTTGCAGGACAGATTTCAGAAAAAAATCACTCAGGGTTTATATTATACTTTGGTGTGCAATCTGTTGGAAATTGTTTTATAAACAATCAAACCTCCCGTCTCCCATTTTCCAGCTCTTCTTCAGTTCCAAAAAATCGAGAGAAAAAACCTAATGAACACATGTTGCTGGTATTAGTGGCAATCTGTTCTGTTCCTTCCGCAAAAAGCCAGGTTTGCTCTCACCTTCTAATTAAAATATTTCCCCTATCGACACATTCCCCATGTTGCTCTAAATTGCGCAATTGTGATTTTAGCTAATCCCCCTCTAACCCTCTTTCTGTCACCTCATATGTTTTTCCCGACAGACACTGTATTAACATATTGATGACAGATTCGTGAGAGTGTTTTCTTAGACGTTTCCCGACCCCATATGGCATACTGTTTCCGAGTGGGACCACACAGCCGTCAACAGGTTTCAAGAGCTTCCCATAGTAGACCAATTGGATGAGTTGCGTCATAGAGTTACCAGCCACTTTATCTGTACACGTAAGTTGACTAAACGTAGATCCATATCTTGATGATGAGACCAATAACAAAGGTCCTGCCTAATTATTCGATTGCACAACACATAACTTTTTCTGCTACTAGTGTAATGTTTCCCACTGCGATAACGAAGGAGACAAACTTGGTGGTCCCGTTTTGAGAAAGAGATTTGTTTCCTTGCAATTCTTTTGGGGTCTTGTGGAGCTTTCGGGGTCTCGCTTACCAAAATATGTACATATATACTGAACAACCGAATTATAAGCGGTACTGCGCTTCCTGAATGAATGTGTCTATGGAGGTGTGAAATTGAGATTTTGCTCTCTTTCGAGAAGGAATAAAAGGAATAAAGAGAGAACTTAGGATATTCTGGAGTTCGGAAAGAGTTCGAAAATTTCCTGGGTCTTAAAAATGAAGCACATTTTCTAGATTCATGAAAATCACCAATTCTTAGAGACATAGCTTTCTAAATGCACATAACTTACCAATCAAAGAGGTATAGAGAAAATATTTTTCAGTTTAACTTCTGCCATTTTGACAATTTTCAGGAGTTTGGAGCTCGGCTGTCAAGTTTTGAATCATTTTGAAAATTTGAGAGGGCGTAAAACAGGCCTAGATAAGAAAAATTGCATTCACAGAATTATTGAAAATTCCTAGTTTACAGCTATTTGCCGATTTTTGAAAAACAGTTTTTTTTTCAATTTTTCAGTAAAAAACGAGTTTTCAAAAAAAACATCTGTAAATGCAAAGTTTTTAATCTAGATCTGTTTTATATAATTTTCAAAGTGCTTGGAAACTTTAATGCCAAGTTCTTGACTCCTGAAAACGATCAAAGTGGCCAAAAATACACTGAAATTTTGCTTTTGTGCATGTTATTGACCGGCACTGTTTTGCAATTTAAAGCTCTAGACCCTTGAAAATTGCAAAATCTACCGAAAATGCTCATTTTATTGGCCGATACTGTACTGAAAAGCAAATCTCTAAAACTGACTTTTTCTTGACAATTTTTATATCATTTTTGATCTCACATCTTGCCAAAATCTTATACACTCCCCTTCAAAATCTCTTACTCATGTTCAAATCTCCCCATTACTTGTCGCCGACGTCTCATCGTTTTTCTCAATTCAACACAAAACTTGCCACGACCACGACAATAACCGTTTATTTTTATGAGATGAAAAAAGACAGTCGGTTGCGGTTGTGCCCCCATCATCTTTTCAACAACGGCGTTTTAACGTTTTTGCGTTCGAGGTCAGAATTGAATCGAAATTGTTGGAAAAAGTCATGATCATCATATTCTATTCTGCGAAGTTTTTCTCATGCTCCAAAGCAAAAAAATGTCGCTCACCGGCTCCCAGACATCTCCCCCCTGGCAAATCTTTAAAAGCTATCTTGTTCACCACCCCTTTTTGCCCATGGAAATTGGAATTCTAATTTTCAAGTCCCCCTAGTCCCCACGCCGACTAATTGCTTAGATCGAGAAGCAATATTTTCTAGATATAAAGTGAATCAGAAGACATACATGGAGATGTGTATAGAAAAAGCGCGAAGGATTTTCTTGTTACGAATTTCGAAGGGAGAAGTACTGTAGATAGAGGAGGTTTGGGGATGATGTAGGATGCTGAAGACGTTGTCGACGACGACGACGACGAAAAACGAGATGAACGATGAGAATGGAAAAAGAAGGAGATGGTGGAGAAAGTGTGATAGAAATCAATACAGTAGAATTGGAAGTGGAAGTCTTTTACAAAAGACAAAAAAAAACATATAATTTGGTTCAGAAAATGAATAGGGAAATTTTTCAAATTTTTGCTCAAAAAATCAGAAAAATAAACACAGATAAAGTGAGAGAAAGGCCAAAATATAAGCCTAAAAGAGCCTAACAAAATACAAAATACAAAATATGTGTCTATTTGAAATAAATGAAATTCTCTACTAAAACAAAACAAGGAGCTCTTTTATCTCAATTCCTCTAAGAGATATCGAGAATCTGCAAACTGGAAAAAAGTTATTGTGATATTATGCCTAACGTTTTATCAGTCGACATATGTTTGATATGTTTAATGGAAATTCAGATAATGAAGCTCTTACTTTTTGCAAGAATCATTATAATAGATGAGAGCATATTTTGAACAAGAACTGAAACAAACCATGTGGACGGATAGGATTCAAAACCCAAAATATTAGAATCAGACGAATTAAGAGTAACGGTCTGGATGAACAAGCAGAAAAACTTGAAAACTACATTTTTCAAAAAAAAAATCACTCACCGGATTCACCCGACATTTTGCCAGAGCAATTCTGATCGTCTTCCACTGTCATCAGTCACTTTGTGGAAACGCCCGAACGTCCTAACCTCCGAACGAGCAAATCTGAAAATTAAAGTTTTTGGATTTCACAGTTTCATGGATAATCACTCATGAGAAATGACGGGGCAGGCGAGATATCTTACAATAATTGTCAGTTTAGCTAACAAGGTTCAATGAAGCGAAAACTTTTGGGGAGGGCAATCCCAAGGCAATCTCGAGCGTTTTTTGTCTTATTTCACGCTTGATACATCCTGATGTGACGAACGTGTCAGATAAAGGTCGCCCCTTTGCTGATATCCAGAGATATGAGGTAGATCAAGTATCAAAAAAATTGCGAGCTCAAAAAATTTACTCTAAACTATCTAACCCTCCAAATGTTTGAGTTGCCCACTAATAAAAATTGATATGAGCTTAAATGATAACCCAAAAATCACAGGACCTATAAGCTTGGATCAAAAGGTAGTTAAACCATAGGAAAGTGCTTTGCAATCGGTGTATGTGTGTGTCATTTAATCGCACGCCTTCTACCATTGGTACATACGTCACCCGCACCGTAGTCCTTTGCCCCGCCCTCACAATGGTCAGTGGACGGAGGCTGTGTTGCTTCTGGATGGAGCGGGTGAGAAAAATAATCCGAACATACCTCAACATCATCCTTGATAACCTAGGAGCCAATATAATGATTATCGAAGAAGCCGGAGAGGTCGGCTGGTTGTGTATGGGGTAGCAAATTTACACCGAAAAAGACTGAGACGAAACACGCGCAATATACATGCGGTTCGATGAGCTAATGTTCTTCCTAGCTTTGCGCTCCGTTTCACTTCAATTCCGCCTAATGTTGAAATTCTGTGTTGTTCCCTCCAACCCTTTACTGGCGCATTCTTTCAGTTTTGTATGTTTTTTTCTTGTCTCGTCAGCAAACTTTAGTAGCGTTTCAGCTAGCTCCGTTGTCATACGTTATGATGAGAACCACTAATTCTCCATGAGCTCTCGGAATCTAGGAATATTGTTATAATTTTCTGAATCACAGTTAGCAACTCTGTTAGGATCTATAAGAATACTGTAAGCACTACTATTCGAAACCCCTGTAAAGTCAATTTAAGCTGATTTATCTCTGTCCCTGTAAGAGATCTCAGGATGTTGCTAACAGACAGAATGTTTCTCATAATGTTACCAACCAACAATTTATCAGTTGACACTTTTTGATATCTCTAACAGAAATCGAGATAATTCAGCTCACAGTCAAAGTATCTTGAGGGTATCTATTAGAGCACAAACAGTACGACACAAAAAATTTCTGATTATATAAACCTCGAAAATGTATTTCCTTATTGAGCATTCGCCTATAGCATTTTTTGACATTTTCTCCACTACTGCTTCGCCATCTGTCTCATACAATCAAAAATAGAAGGCCGACAGCCAAAGTTTAGCAACGAAAAAAAAAACTCTTACAGTATCCAGTCACGTGTTTCAAGTGAATCATTGATTTGCGCTATTGGCAAAAAAAAGATGACAAGAAGAAAATTAGAGAAGACAATTTTTCGTAAACTCGATGATCATCATCCATTTTTTGTTCCAAAATACTTTCAAAAAACATTCCGTTCAATCAGATCACCTATCCGGACCAAACTAAAAGGTTTTATCATGTTAGAAAAAGTTGGCTTTTGGATTAGGCTCTCTCCTCTTTCTTACGCGACCGGACCATGACAATATCTACACGAAAGATCTCGCGTTATCTCGTCCCCCCTCCCCGAGAAGTGGGTGTTGTACTGATAGAACCAGCACGATAATTGTCTTCCGGTTGACAGTTCCTGACGAGGACAGACAAGTCGCTTGTGCAATCCGGAATGTTTTATTGTATAACAGTAGATAGGTGACAATCAGTTTATAGGCGTTCGATGTTCTTACGCAACTATTTTGACATGAGAGCTGGTGAGTGATTTGAAAAGTTTAAAAAAATACTGGAGAGGATCTCTAGGTTAGAAATGAATAGAAAAAATGTTCCACTATGCATTCCGGATTGTTTCTTGTTATGAAACAACTGCTCAGATCAGCTAGGAGCAATATATTTTCGCAAAAAAAATTATCAAAAATTCCGAAAAAATTGAGATTACAATAAGCCCTTAAATTCAAAAACATTGGTTTTCATATTAATTCTTTGATATCTAAGCTAGTTTGAGAACATAGACAAAGTTGAGTAGCTCGTTGGCTTTCAAAAATCATGCGAACCGGAATTTCGAAATAATTTATTCTAAACTCTAAAATTATTGTCAAAAATCAACTACTTTGGAATATGAAGATATCTTATTGGTGACCAGATTGATGATTCACTAAACCCGAGTTTATCCATTTTTTCCATTGTTACAGTTTACTAAATCGATAAATTTTACAGTAACCAATAAATCAAGCCTATAACAAATTGAAATTACGCTCAGAGTTTTAAGAGGGTATGCGAAGGCCTAAAAATCACAAAAAATTATTCTACCATTTTCCAATTAAAATTAGAAATTAAACGATTTCTGTGAAAAATTCCTGTTTTTCGAAGATTTTGAAGTTTTCAAAAATAATTTCAGCACTTCTGGTGACAAAAAATATAACAAAATTTTGATCATGAGTCCAGAACTAGTACAAACAGTCAAGTTTCACTCTCTTCAACTCACCATTGCTCA